TCATGCTCTAACAAAAAAAATTCCTTGGACAATTTTACCATATTTTTATTCTTCACTAATTTCACACCAAACCTTAACTAAGGTGCACTTATCGTTATGCTAATTAATTCGTTTGACTAGTGATATATGTAAATACCTTTGTATTTTTTTTTTAAAAAAAACAAAGACAACTATTTACTAAATTTACTTACCTGATGTAACTATTCCAACAACTTTAAACTTTTTAAAACCCTCTAAATCCCGTGAAGTCAAGTTATTGTGGGCTATCCTGATCATGTCATGCAAGAGAGTACATGATTTTACGGTATCTCCTAGCTCCTTTTTTTTGTCATCTCTTGACACAATTTTACCGTGCTCTACAATTAAAAATTCTACCCCGTGTTGTAGGTTTGTGATAGTTATATCTGGAACAAGCCACGTGCCATATTATCCTCAATTTTGATGCAATTTCTACGGTCCTTATTTGCATATAATTCCCTAAATATATATAAAGGTTTTATTAATTAAACATAAACAATATTAAATAGAATTATAAATTTAAAGCTTACTTTTGCGCTTCGACAGAGTAATTTTTGTCGAAAAATAGATCAAAAAAGATCTCAAAAAGTAAAGCACTACTGATATGGCCTTCACTGTGTCCCAAATCCCAATATCTTGTCTCCAAACTAAAGAACCGCCAACTATAAAACAACATTTTAGTAACAATATCTATGACTTTAAAATAAACATATACTTACATCTTTTTTGTCAAATTCGTAATGAAATTGAACATTGAAGTTTTAAAATTTTGTGAAAATATATCATCACATTGTTGCCATTTCTTTATATAATTATTGGCTTTTTCAATGTTTGATATTTCGCGGAGTTCATTTAACCGATTCATTATTTGAATGTCAATATCTGATGATGTTACCAAATTGTTCAAATTTTGCCAAAATTTTTCAGCAACCAAATTATATGGATGTTGTTTAAAAATCTGTTTTTCTAGATCAAGAACCCCTATTTTAATTACATCTCTGATATGTATATAATATAATAATAAAATTTAGTATTTATATATTTTATTATTTTTTATTATAAACAAATATATAATTTATGATATGTTGTACTGTATCTACGAAGGCTTCGCATTTTCGAAAATTGGAAGCATTATTTCTTGAATTGTTTGGTTGTTTTCTAAAATTATATTGCTCTTAATGTTTAAAGATAAAATTTATATGCTAAATTATAAAATTTAAAGTTCTAATAATAATAAATATAATACATAGGCTACCCAGTAGGGCTATGAGAAATATCTTCTCCAGTGTCGCCAACAAAATTTTTCTGATCACATGAAACCGTCAAAATTCTTTAGAGTTTGTTTATATTAAGGTTTGGTGTGAAATTAGTGAAGAATAAAAATATGGTAAAATTGTCCAAGGAATTTTTTTTGTTAGAGCATGA